TTAAGCCCAAATCAACAGTTAAAATAAGTACAGAAAGATAAATAAATAAGGGAATTTCTCTGTTCATAACTTAATCCTTGTTCCATCCGAGTTAGCCAACTAAGCAAAGATTAACTCAAGATTTCCCTACACGAATTAAGCAAACGTATACAACATTAAACCTCCCCACAAGATTAAGCAACCTGTGACTTTGGGGTAGAAACCTGTCCGACGTAAAATTGTGGCATGTTTTTGTCCCTTTTACGTCAGTCTGGTAGAATCCCCGACGTAAATTTACGTCGTCTTTCAGAGGTGACGTAAATTTACGTCTCCTGTATTGACGTCGGAATCTTTTCCGACGTAAAAGGCTCGAAATACGCGACGTAAAAGACCCTTTGTGTACTAGTGGTTGATGATTTCTAGAGTTTGATGGTTGTATGTTGTCCTTTTATGGTTTAGGTAGTATGTGAATTTTATTTTCTAAGTCTTTTGTACTGAATATGTGAGTTGTTTGGTTTAGATTTGTAGTGGGAAACTTTGATATGAAGTTGAGGTGTGAGTTTGGAAGGGTTGAGGTATTTTTGTGGCCTTTGATGATTCATTTAGGCACACTTAGGAGGCATGTAAGGAAGACATGACATGATCGAATATTTTTAGAGATAAAGAGATTGTTACCCTTGAAGAACCAAGGCTCTGATACCACTTGATGGCATCCTAGCTTGCATGAACTTGAAATGATGAGCAAGGGAGAGGATGCCTACTCCAAGGATCAAGTCCTTCAAGGGTGATGCGTGATTTAGAGAAGGAATAAGGTGGGATGGACGAAAATGGAGAGTGTGGGTGAAGTGTTTGATGAAAGGTTTGAGAGGGCACTCTAGGGTTTGGCTCACTTCAAGGTAGATGAAGGTCACTTCTAGGGTTTAGCTCTCAAGGTGGAGATAGGATGGTGGTGGCCGAATTTAGTCTAGGGAGACTAAGGATGATATAAAGGCAAAAATGCTCTCTTTATATTCAATATCCAAAGTATTTACATGATGTATAGCCTAGGGTATTTATAGGAGTGGGAGGCATCTAGGGTTGCATTTGGAGATTTCATGACTGAAATTCACAAGCCAAATGCACATCAAATGAAATCCAAATTAACCCTAGATGCAACTTGGTGGCCAAGGATGGAATCTTTGGGTTTAGCTAGGCTACATCTAGGTGCATGATAAGACCATGCAACCTTTGCCCTCCACTTGGGCCCAAGCCTTTCTAACACCAAAAATAGGTCCAATAACCACAAAAAATACGTCTAGGGTTTTGTTCCCACCCTAGTCAAATACCTTAGCCCAAAAATAAAATCATATGATCTAAAGCACCCCATAATACAAGGGTAAAATGGGAAATATAAAAGAAAATAAATCCTATGACTAAAATATCCCAAAATACAAGGGTAAAATTGGAAATACAAGTAGAATAGATCCTATGTCTAAGATACCCCAAAATACAAGGGTAAAAATGGAAAATCAAAGACAACGACAAAATAGGCATAAAAATAAATAAGCTCCATGGATGGTCCTCCATCAAAGCTAGCCAGAAAATGTATGACATTTTTTTTTTGCCTATACCTTATCATGTTTTTGTTATCTAAGGAGAGATGATTCATGGTATAGATAGGGTTTTTATTCATTTTTTTACTAAAAAAAACTACCTATATGATGTTAATGGAATGATGGCCTAAGAATGTATAAAGGGGTAATAATTTCTTTATTTATTTGTTTTTTATTATCTTTTTATTATCTATTTGCTTATTTTAAAAGTTCAATCCACTCTTATTGAAAACAAACAATGTAAACAAACAAATGCAACACACATATGCTCATACAACATACACCCACAAATAGTCACATTAAAATCCATAGGTTGAGGTCCCTACAAAGAAAGGTGTGTCGTATAAGGTGGTTCTAACTGTTCTCATTGGTATTTAAAAGGCTCCCAAGGTGCCCCATTATAGGGACTCAGTGTCTTTGTCGTTGTCAACTAGCAGACTCTATGGTCTGTCCAAAGTATTTGAGTTAGAATAACCGATTATCACCTTGAGTGTGACTTTCAACAACGACTTGTAGGCTCAAGTCCGTCCCTTCGGTTGGTCGTACATCAACCACTCCCTATGGTTATCTCTCTTTCCCCCAAGTATAGAGGGAACTTGTAGTGTGCAAAGGTTTGTGTACAGTTAATTTCAATCAATTATAAAATTTAAACAAACATGCAGATATTAAAGCTATAGTAAACAAACAGATATTTACAAACAAGGTAAAAGGGGTAAAAATTTAATTATTATTTTTATTATGCTAAATTTGTAATTAAATGAGTCTGAATCTCTTTAAGTTTTCCCAGTGGAGTCGCCATCTGTCGGAACTCAAAAAATTCCAATCTTACCCACAGATGGTTGGACTTCGTTTTGAAAATCTCATTAGTTTAGGACTGTCCAATAACTAGACTAATCTTTTACCAATGGCTTTTGAAAAGGTTAGAAGAAATCGCCACCGATATTTTACTCCAAATATCGAAAAAAGAAAAGGGTTTTTAAAAATCAATAATGGCCTTCATAGCCATAATTAGGTCTGGGCTCAATTACGCTTGGGGAAGGTATTAGGTACCCCATAACGCCCTAATTCGGTATCCTACGATGAATTTAGTATAATAATAATTATAATTAAGTCTTTACCCCTTTTATTATGTACACAATAATCTATATTACACATTATTTACAAGACGAAAATACGTATTATCTACATGATTGTTTATTCTATAGCATATAAGAAAAATAATAAACAAAATAATAAATAAGATAATAAATAAAACAATAAATAAAATAAGAAATAAAACAATAAACAAAATAATGAATAAAATAATAAACAAAATAATCAATAAAATAATGAATAAAATAATAAATAAAAGAGAAGAAATTTGGAACCTCCAAAGCAAGTCTTTTATCAGAGAATCTTCCCAAATGTGTACGGGAGCGCATCTTAGCAGCCCTTCGCCCTATAAAAGTCTCATTATCACTCAGAGATTTACATAGAGAGGAGGAGCTATGCAACTTCAGGTGTGTCTATTCCCTTGTCCAAGGAGTTTCTTATATAGCCATCTAGGAGGAAAAATCATAAAAGAATTGTTCAATGTGGGACTTAATCTTTTGGGTTTCTTAAAAGTAGGACTAAATCTACAACAAAAATAATCTTATTTTTAAAGCATTGTGCGAGACCTCTAGAGAACTCATTAACTGTTGGATCGTGCTGATTTGTTGATGGTATCTTCACAATATATTGGTCTCTAACTTCAACGATCGGATTGTTGAAATTAGATCTGTAACGAGAGATACTATTAAAACAAAAGTGTTATTCGGTATAAGACTCCTCTTTTTTAGCTGCTATGTGGGGCATCTATATAATTTGTTAATCATTGGATCATGCTAAATGTTTTATGGAATCTTCTCAATACATTGATCTTTAACTTCAGCAGTCGAATCGTTGAAATTAGGTATGTAGCGAGAGATACAATTAGAATAATAACGTTGTCCAACTTGAAGCTCTTCTCCTTTCTTCGAAAAAGGGGAACAGTCGTTCCAAGGTTGGGAACGGTCGTTTCACATACCAGATTAGGGTTTTGAGTCTTCTGGGCCTCCTGATGTTGTCTCGATCTGTTTCAATGCTTTATCGGGCCCTCGAGGGCTACTCTTGTCGTCCTAGTGGCCTTTTGTCTTTGGTAAAGATAACTTGGACGAAATTGAGTGTCTACAGTAATATTTGTTCACTTTGACATGTTGTCTTACGCATGCCATATATTGAGCTTCCGAACTCGAAATTGGACATTCTTAGTGTCCTCGAAAGCTAAGATAGAGATCTGCAACTTTTCTATTGGAAGTTTCACCTAGTTCAAACATCTCAAGGCCTAAAAGTACACCACAACATCACGTCTTTACATTTCATTTTGGATTTACTTTAGGAACTTATTGTATTATCAGTCTAACCTTGTTAACTACTTGATTAGCGGGTCAAGCCTTATAAATATTCCAATTAGGCCCACTATATTGGTCTATTAATAGGTGTTATGAGACTTGTTATGTACATTTTCTCTCATTTTTCAGATTTTAGAGTTGTTTCCTTACAAGTTTCTCTAAATTTTCTCTCTCGAATTTTCTCTACATTTTCTAAATGAATGAACTACAACAACTTAATAGAGATGCAAAGCTAGTCCATTAAATCGATTCAAGATTACATGAATTACAATAAAATTTGAGTTTCTGATTTTTTTTACTATACAAATTCTTTGTTTTCTTCTTCGTTCAATATTTAATTTTCGTTTTCATGATTACAAACTTTATTTTACTTAGATCTAGAACCAAGACTAAAGTATATTTTTGGATCTAGATCTAAAATAATTTCAATCGTTTAAATCAATCATTCACTATTCTTAAATTTCATAAAAATTGTAAAATTACAATTGTACTTCACGTTTTTATAAAATTCAATAAATATAGACTTAGATATATTTTAATTATGTTCATGTAAATTTAAGTTGATTAAATTCAAATTATACTTTAAACCTTGAAAAGTTTTATGTTAAGATTGAAATCTTGATTCGATACAATTTTCAATTAAAATATCTGATTAATTTTCTATTTTGTGTTTCTTAATATTCATTACTATTTCCTTGTTCAAAATCTTTATTCTAACATTACGTGATAAATTTAGAAATTTAGATTATATTACCTCATGTCTTTAAGAAAAATGACCTAAGTTATTTTTTATATTTCAAATCTTAGAAAAAAATCTAATAATTTTTTATAATAATTCAACATCACAGTTACAAAAGCTTATCCTTTAACCTTTATAAGATTCCAATTCAATTAACTTTTCTTCATCAGCTATTTAAATTCTATATTTTAAGTGTAAATTCTACCTCGACATATAATATTTAAATCCCTTCTTTATTCAGTATAAGTAAAACCTCAGTGTTGACCAGTACTGACGATGTGTAAAGAAGGATTACTGAGTAGTATTGATTACAATAACATCTACACATAATCCACATTTGGGTAGTATTGATTACATTAACATAACAAAAGGCAAAAGATGTAAAAGAAATGAAATAAGTATACAAAGCAAAGTTAACATAGTTGATCCAAGATGTCCAAGAGATTGAAACCATCAAATCTAAGGCACCAACTTATACACCTCTTATCTCTAATTAATGATTTAGTGACCGAAACAAAGATCCATATAATCTACTAAAAAACCCTTATAAAAAATAAAAACAAAATCAATTAACTGGACAAACTGTGGGACATAAATCACCCAGCAAATAAGAAAACATTTAATGAGAAGAAATACTGTACTCAAAGACCTCTGCCAAATTTTAGTTAACCGATCACGACAAATTGGCCGAATTCTGGTATGCTACAAATGATCATCCTCACATTTCGCTGGCTGCTGTTTTATGAATATTTTGTACAGCATATTGAAAAGGCTACAATAAGTTGTACACATTTCAGCTTCAGCATAATTTAACTGCAGAAAACAAATCATTATCAAAACTAGTTGAGCATATTTTAATTAGGATTAAATCTTTCTAGTCCATAAGCTTTGTCAATTTCGTTTTTAATCCTTGAACAAATTTTATTTAGTTTTAATTCCTGAATTTTTTTCTCCATAAAAAAAATGACAGACCAAAATATTAACAAGAGAATAAGTTAAAAGACTAAAAGTCAAAATTGACAAAAGTTCAGCGACTAAAATTAGTAAAAAAAATTATCCAAGGACTAAAAACAAAAATTGACAACAGTTTAGAAACTAAAAACATATTTAATCTTTTTAATTATAATGGTAACCTTGTGATAACCAAATGAAAAATAAAAGAAAATGTATACCATGATGTTTAACGGATTGGAGATTTGAAAATCAAGAATTGCCATTACAGATGGAGATAAAGGAAAGATAGAGATTTAAATTTTATGGGATTGATGTTGATCTGATACTATGTAATTTATCACGATGTTTTTATGTGTATCAAACTAATCATAATCCTAATTAACTAGGGAAAATAATCATGTGATAAGAAAACATGGTAACAAATCCCAAGATATAATGGAAAATAGGAAAACTAAAGGATAATCTAAGATACATATTCATATGATATTTAACTATATTCAGCACTAATCAACATATGCAGTAAATGGAGATAGTTCAATGAAAATCAAGATTCATAATACCTTCAACTGTGTACCCACATAGGATCTAAAGAGAAAAGTTTCTCATTTCTTGTGCCTGAAGGAGGAGCTCTTGGTGGTGGAGCATGAACAGTAATTGGAAGAACCCATTCCGTTTTTTCCCTTCCCTCAATCAGAAGAGGATGGTCATACCTGTGATTCAAAAAATAGTATAAACTTAAATGACCAATGCCACCAAAAATTCCATGAAACCTATTTTCTTCATTTGAAGCAGGAATCATGGTTCGTAATACAACAGAAATAGTTGGTCACCAGGTGAGGTCCACCACATGGATCACACGACATCATTAGACTCAGTTAAAAGCCAAATTACTAGAGATATTATTCACCATGAGATCACCAGAATTATGGTTTGTGATATGTAGGATAAATGACAAAGAAACTAAAGGCTGGTCTTTGGCCATGCCTTGAACTAATATATGGTTCAAATATTAAAACCAAAGATTAAGAAGCCTATAGTACGTACATCCACATCAAGTATAAAATGACAAAAATGGTCCGAGTAAAATAAGTGCACTTGTGTCATGGATGAAGTCTAAGAATAATTTTTTTAAAAAGAACATAAGAGTAAACAATAGTTGGATTATGAATTAAAAACATGGTAGGGTGCAACCAAAGATGGCATGTGTGTGGAGTGCGAACTGTAGAATAAGTTGCTCCCTTGTAAGATCAACCAAAAGGCAGTTGCAGATTAATATGGGAAGAAGAGGTCAAGGGTGGAACACAATACTTTTTCCAATCTACATGCTTTGGAGTTGTGAAAAATTCAAAGCGGAGAACCCACTGCACAGATACATGTTGAGTGGAGAAGGACATTGGACCATCCATGGGAACCGAAAAAAGAAAGCTAGTCTGCACCAAATCTGCTACAACCTCATGATGATCACTCTGAACCTAAAAGCACAGTTGAGACCACAATTGTCAGAATCAGAAGCCAATAAAATATTGAAATACATACATGGTCATCAATTTTCTCTAGTTAGATAATGATCCCATGTCTTTTATCTCTTCTGAGATTGCACAAAGACTATATATTTATAAGCTAGTCTCTTTCAAAAAGTCATGAGAGATTGGCCCTTGAATAATCATGCATCATGGTTAATCAAAAGGCATCAGCAAATCAAATCACATTAATTCTGAATAACACATTATAGTTATTGGTGACAAGGGATTTGTAGGGCTATAAATCAAATGGTGCATAACTTAGTGTGGTTATATTGAAACATTGCACTTGATATATAAACAAGTATATGATAAAATAGGGAAATTCTTCTAGTGTAATTTGCGGCCACAAAGTACCCATAAAACTTGAGGCAAAACTTTATCAACAACTACAAAGAATGCTCTATGGTAGTTGTTAATAAAGTTTTGCCTCAAGTTTTATGGGTACTTTGTGACCACAAATTACACTTGAAGTGTATTTGGTGGAGAAAGTTGGAACAACGTCTATCAAAGATAAGATGATACAAAATTGCGCAAGCGGTTGAATTAGGAAAGGTTTAGCTAGACCAATGGAGGCTCTACTGAGAAGTAAAAAGAATCAAAGATAGTCTGATTAAAATAAGTAGATTAAGGCCAAAGAAAACTTTAGTAGAACCATTAACATTGATCTTAATCTAAATGGATTTATTGGATGCTTGGTTTTTGATTCAACCAATCAGTAACAGTTCAAAATAAGCTCGAGTAGTAAGAGCTAAAATACATCAAATACCTTAGTGATTGTCGGAGAATTCCTTCTAGAAGGGTGAACAAATCGCCGATTTATAGTTTCGGAAGTTTCCAATGTTATTGAAATCTGAAAAATAATAATTATGATAATAAATTCACTTGCAGAGTATCAACCATTATAAATGATTTGTTAATTATTAGTTTAACTCTCATCAGCTGACAAAAGGGCAATCACCTCAAGGCATCTCCTAGCTCCTTCTTCATGAAAGAAAGTGAGAGTACCCCCTATCTGCAACAAGAAAGTGGTTGGTGAATAGACTTCTTGTGTACACAATGTATCAAACTCTACTTGATTATCCTTACCACATCACTGAAGTAATATGTTGAGTCAGAATTTTTAGGAGAAAATTTAAGCAAAACTTGATCATCAAGTCGGATATTATAAGACCTTCCTCTAATAAAGCCTTCTGCTGCAAAAAATGTCTGCATAAAATTAGCTTACATAGAATATGAACAAAATTTGATGTACAACAATATCTCATATGTCTGAAGCACGTAAAATAATTTTGGAAGTAGAGAAAATGCATCAATTTACATGATAATGATTCTGCAGCCCCTGCTTCAGGTGAAGAGGATACTCCCACATCATCTTCTGCAGAAAATATCTTTCGCAGCTTCTGGTTCTCATTTTGGGAGACAACAGCAAATGACTTCTGGCTTGACAAGACATCTGTTATCCAAATGAATTAGCATAGTAAGTACTTGAATTCAAAGCAAAAGTAAAAGATAACTCTTATTAATCAGATACTAATAAATCAAAACAAGTTGATATTGTTTCAGAACTAAATTTCTACAAGAAAAATAATGAGCAGTTTCATACATAAACCTATCACCAAGTTATAGTTTAAATTGCTCACCAGCACCTGAATCAGATAATACTTCAGCAACAGACAGCCGAGGAAGAGCCATATTTGAAGATAAACTTGTTCGGAAACCTTCTAAAGTAGAGGCATCCCTGGTCAATGATCTTGCAGAAGAAGATCGCAATGATAGTGAACTTCCGAAGCCTCTGTGTAGATTCTCTCTCATGGGGTTATAAGAAGAAACAGATGATATATCATCTCTTGAGCTGTCATAGCCCTCCTCAACTCCATCATACATATCATTAGCTCTAACCTGTAAACAAAATATTCTATTTAATATCAACAGACCAAGAAAAATAACAGCATGCAATAAGTGAAATGCCATAATAAAGGTTTAAAAGCATTGAATTCTTTTGACAACGGGGAGAACAATAAATAGATTTAGATTCCCAGTAGACCCCAGGGGAAGGGGGGTGGGAAATGGAGTATAACTAAGAATGATATAAATCAAATAAAACAGAAGAAAAAAATAATACCAAAACAAAAAGTACCACTGACACCCTTCTGTACAAATAATTTTCCTTCAAAAATCAATTAAATTAGTCAACAGCTTCTCTAAGCGTTATTTATGAACATGCCTACTGCCCGCTCTTAAATAAAAATGCAAATAAGGCATTCCAAATGCCAAGCAACACATTGAAAGAATAAATGGATATTATCCTTTAAACACAACATACATACAAAATACAATTTCAAGATAAATACACCTATAAAAATCTCCAATAGACCTACAGCCAATGTTCTTAAAATCAAAAATAACCAGGCAATTCTGTATTATGTATCACCAGAATATTATATAACCAAAATTTGCCTAAATGGACCAATATCGTTATGAAGCCAACAGCTTAACTGAATAACAAAACCAAGCTAGTTACAGGCCTTGAACCAGGTTAGGTATTTTAAAAAACAAAAGAGGTACCTCACGTCAAACACTCCTGACATTAAAAGTGTCTTTAACCTGTATAAATGGAAATGACAATGCCACCACACCAAAACTCCCTTAGAAGTTATGTGGCATGTTATTATATTTGAATAGGTTTCAAAAATGTTATCTCAGATGTCTATCTAATTAATGGAGAGAAACAAAGACATAAGAAGCCGAAATCGTGTGTTATAGACACCACAGGAATATGTTTGTATAGGCTTGTTTCCTTTAATATATGAATAGGGGATAATATTTTGGTTCCCCTAAATGAGATATGTGCCTATAAACTATAATTATTTCATTGTGATTCTCAACACTCCCCCTCAAGCTCAAGCTGGGGCATACAAATCATATGCACCTAGCTTATTAGATATATAACTAATTTGTGGATCTCTCAAGGATTTAGTAAGAACATCTTCCAGCTGATAACTAGAGTTGACGAAGGTAGTTGTAATTTTTCCAGTCTTAATCTTTTATGTGATATAGTGGCATTGAACTCAATATGTTTGGTCCTCTCATGAAACACTAGATTAGATGTAAATTAGTAGTCAATCCCGGATAGCGGCGCGGAGCGGCCGACCCTGGCCTTAGCTCCTACATTTTTTTTATTACTATAAAATTTATTCCTATTTTACCTTTGTCTTTAATTTCCTATTTACCCTTGTATTTTGGGTACCTTAGACATAGGATTTATTTATCTTTTATTTCCTATTTTACCCTTGTATTTTGGGGTTTCTTAGTTATAGGATTTATTTTTACTTGTATTTCCCATTTTACCCTTGTCTTATGAGGTGCCTTAGATTATAGAATTTTATTTTATAGCTAGGGTATTTTATTAGGGTGAGAAAATAAGGCCTAGACGTGTTTTTTGGTAGTCTTGGATTTATTTTTGAACTTGGCAAGGTTTAGGCCCAAGTGGAGGGCACCTAGGTTGCATGGTCTTATCATGCACCTAGATGTAGCTTAAACAAACCCAAAAATTCCATCCTTGGCCACCAAGTAGCATCTAGGGTTAATTTAGGTTTCATTTGAAGTGCATTTGGCTTGCATTTTTCAGCCAAGCAATCTCAAATATAATCCTAAATGCATCCTCCATTCTATAAATACCCTAGGCTAGCAACCTTGTAAATACTTTGGAATTTATGATATTAAGAGAGCCTTTGAGCCTTAATATTCTTTCCTTAGTCCCCTTGGTCATTTTGGCCAACTATCCTTCTCATATTGACCGTGAGTGTTCTCACCTTTAGGAGTGGCCTTTATCCATCAATGAAGTGAGCCAAAACCCTAGAGTACCACCTTAGCATTTCATCAAACACCTGGCCTCCATAAACACCATTCGCCCATCTCCATCACCAAGGCTAGAAACCTTGAGTTCCATGATCCAAGGAGTCCGGTCTTCCCTCTTTGATGCTCCTAACTCAATCCATGCAAGGAGGGGTGCCATCAGAGTCTCAATTTGATGATTGTTGAAGAAGGGTTGGGTTCAAAGGAGCCTTAGGCCTTATGTCGTCCCCGTTCTTTTGGTGCCAAAGAAAGATGGAAAATGGAGGATGTGCACGGATTGTAGGGCCATCAATAACATTACAATAAAGTATATGCACCCAATCCCTAGGTTAGATGATATGCTGGACGAACTGCATGGAGCCATGATATTTTCCAAGATTGACCTTAAAAGTGGTTATCACCAAATTCGAATTAAAGAAGGTGATGAGTGGAAAACCGCTTTTAAGACCAAATTTGGTTTGTATGAATGGCTAGTGATGCCCTTTGGCTTCACTAATGCCCCTAGCACTTTCATGCGTCTAATGAATCATGTTCTTAGGGATTGCATAGGAAAGTTTGTAGTAGTTTACTTTGATGACATTCTTGTATATAGCAAGACCTTAGAGAGTCTATTCATTTTAGTTTAGAAAATCTTTTTAGAATTTTTAGTGGAACTCCTCTAAGGATGCACTTTCCATTTATATCATATACTATTGCCTCTAATGCTTATTTTTATGTTTTTGTTGGTCATGAGGTCCACCGTGAAGAACCACTTGATTGAGGACAAATCCTTTTTCAAGAGGGAGGGAATGATGGAATCACCTTAAGGCCAAGAAGACCAAGAGGTGATATATTGAAGGAGGCAAGAGGAATGGGTTAGTTTTGAAAACCATAAGAGGAGTGGGCTTACTTTTGGGCCTTAGCTCCTACATTTTTTTTATTACTATAAAATTTATTCCTATTTTACCTTTGTCTTTAATTTCCTATTTACCCTTGTATTTTGGGTACCTTAGACATAGGATTTATTTATCTTTTATTTCCTATTTTACCCTTGTATTTTGGGGTTTCTTAGTTATAGGATTTATTTTTACTGTAATATGTAAGACAGCTTGATTATCACGAAATGGTGTCATTTGTGTAGACTCTTCAAACTTTATTTCTCTAAGAAACTGTTTCATCCATATGAGGTCACTATTTACTAAAGCCATGGCCCTATATTCTACCTTTGCACTAGATCTTGCTATGACATTCTACTCTTTACTTTTTCATGATATCAGATTTCCTCCAAGAAACACACAATACCTAGAAGTCGATTGCCCATCACTGGGTGAACTCACCTAGTCCACATTTGAGTATCCAACTATTTGAGCATGTCCTTTGTCTTCATAAATGAGGCCTTTTCTTTGGAGAGCTTTTGATATATTTTTATATCTAAATAAATGCATCCCAATGATCCTAACAAGGGGTTTAAGAACTTACCACACTTATTGCAAAGGCAATGTCTTTCCAACCAACACTTTGACATAAGGATCCATGGGAGTATTTGTTGGATTGGCATTCATCAGACTAGTTTCTTCAAGGATGTCAAGAGCATATTTCTTCTAAGATATCACTAGTCCTTCTTTGGATTGAACAACTTCACAATAACTAGAAAATATCAAAGTTTACCAAGGTCTTTAGTTTGGAAATGTTGGGATAGAAACTGCTTAAGATGAGTAATTCCCTACAAATCACTACCAATTATGACAATGTCATCTACATACATAGCGAGATAGATACATCCTTGAGGTGAATGGTGATAGAAAACAAAATGGTCTACTTCACTACAATTATACCAAGTTGTTGCACAACAAAACAAGCATAAAGAGATTGTTTAAGTACCTATGAAGCCCACAAACCATGGTAGCGGACTCCCCCTGAGCAACAAATCCAAATGGTAGCTTCAAATAAACTTCTTCAAAATCGCCATACAAGAAAGCATTTTTTTTAAAATCGCGCCAAAAGGTAGACCAATGGCGAATGTTGGCCATGCAAAACAAAAGTCAAACAAAATCCATTTTTGACCACCAAAAAGAAAGTGTCAATGTAATCCAAGTCAAGGACACCCAACAGGAGTTTGCCATGTGGAAAAGGAACCATATGTCTTGATTATGTTTTTCCATGTCAATAAAAAATGTATTTAAGTATCTTTCTTTGCTAATACCTTTCCATCAACCCCTATAAAAGGTAAATGGCTTCTACTATAGACTATCTTTACATAAAATCAAATTGATTCTCGACAATCCTAATATTTTCTCTTAATCTATGCTCAATCACCTTTTACCATAATTTCATAATGTAGCTCATAAGTTTTATTCTTTTGTGGTTTACATAATCATAAATATCCCCTTGTTTTTAAATATAGGAACCATAATTCTCCTCCACTCACCTAGCAACTTCTTACATCTCAAAATTCCATTAAACAACTTAGTGAGACAAATGTTACCTTATTCTCCTACTCCTACATTTACAATCTTCAATAGGAATACCATTAGCACCAATAGTTGTACCATTACCAATCCTTTTAAATGCTTTTTCTACCTCTCAAACCCAAATTCTCTAGTCAGCCAAATTTTGTTTATCCTTTTGGATTTCTATTCCTTCCATATTACAAGTAGATCATTGTCCATCTCTACGTGTGAGTGTTAAACTCCTCTACTAAGTATTATTTTGTAACCATAGTTAGTTAGTCTATATGATTGGTTAATAACTCAATTAGTTGTAACCGTCTCTATTAGACAGTTACAACCTCTCCTCCTTGAATCTCTATAATATATATAGGATTGTAAACAAAGATTCAAAACATTGTATCAAGTATTTTTTCAATCAACGAATTACATTTTCAGTTTACTCTAATATGGTATCTAAAGCCTCCTAATCCTTGACTATGGCTTCTGCAAACAATCAAGAACCCATTCACATGCCGCCATTGCAGTTGCATTTTCAGCATAATGGCAATGCTTCATCATCACCTCTGGCAACAATTCCTGTCACTTTTTCACATCAAATCACAGAAAAACTTGATGATAGGAACTTTTGGTTGTAGCGTTAGCAAATTGAGCATTTAATCAAGGCACACAAGCTTCATCACTATGTTGTTTCTCCTTGAATTCCATCGAAATTTCTTACTGAAGAAGATCATGATCTTAATCGCGTCAATTCACAATATCTTGCTTGGGAACAACAACATCAAATGCTACTTCCATGGTTACAGTTATCTCTCTCAAGTTCAATGCTATCTCTAAGTATGGGAGAAAATTCATTCGTATTTTCATCATCAGACTCGTACAAGAGCTCAACAGTTGTGATTTGAACTTCGGCACTCAGCCCTAGACAATACTCCTACTAATGAATATCTTCTTCACATCAAAGCCTTGATTAATGCGTTGTCATCAATCGATGATTTGGCATCGCTGCGTGAGCATTTGGATGCAATTCTTGAAGGACTACCTCAAGAATTCGATTTGGTTATCGTGTTAGTTGAGAGTCATCCGGAACATATTACAATTGAGGAAGTTGAAGGTTAGATTCTTGCTCAAGAATTGTGCCTTCAAAAATATCGCAAGGTTTTAGTTGATACAACTACAACTCCATCATTAAATCTCACACATACCACTCCTCAAACTATTGTGAATATCACCAATGGTGAAAATCTCTCTAAGCAAAGCCCTGACTATCAAAATCAAAACTCCTTCAATGAATATCGTGGTTTTAGTTATTGTGGTGGTCACTTTGGTCATGGATGTAGCCATGGTGGTTGTACACCACTCAATGCAAGTATGCTTCAGAAATGAGCACAAAACATTAGCCTGTTATCATTGTTTCAATCAACAATATCCATGTCAATGTTGTATTTGTGTTTCAAACGTTTCCAATCAAAATAAGAATAAAAGATCAAGGGTGTTCTGTATTCATAGTTTTCTCTTAACATTCTCTCTTTCAACATATAACATCATCTTAAATAAATTTAAACAACTATAAGTTCAAAATCATTGTCTAGATCATCTGAACTTCAAAAAAACTAGCAGATTTCACATAATTCTAAAATAAAAGATGATTGTGTGATTTTAACCAAGATCCCATCAACATCCATTTTAAAATGCAATTTTTCCATATATTTCACAGTTTGTAGAGGCAAAACATTTTATAATTAAAAACAAATAAAGAGCATTTTTAGAACAATAGATTGCAAATGAATTTAGGTTAAAACACAGATAAGTTTAGTTTACCCAATAAAAAAATATCACCAATAGCATACCCAATCAGCATCTCCATCCATCTCTTTCCAAAATATATCCAGTTGTACAGCAGTTAATGGAACAATATCTGAAAACATATAAACACATGGATATATTAATTATAACATTCAACTGAGATTAAGATGTTTAGAACTTTCTGAAGCTACATGAAATAAAAATGTATAGGTGCAAAAGAACAAGAAACTTACTACTGATATATGCAATCAATTTTTATAAACAAGTAATTCTCCAATGATATCATGTTCTATCAAGGTTTGCTTACTATACTTATCATTTTTTTTGTGTTGCAAATTTTAAGATTGAATTTGAACAAATGCCAATACTGTGTTGTCGAGTGGACACAACAAAAGATAACAATTTTATACAAAATATATTATAATTTTAATGGTTTCACATAATGGCTCCTTAGGTCATCATGTACCCATTTTTTTAATTGGACAATTGACCATTTGATCCACATTTCTCGCTGGTTTGGTAATATAGCCATGCTGCCACCTCTCCATCATTGTTAGAACTACAGCAAACCTCCCAACTAACAAGAAATATCTATCCCACACCAGACAAGGCAAAAATTTCTTTAAACTTTCCAAAATTCCACCGGAATTAGAAAAACAAGATATAATAGACAGGCATGCATGCAAGATAAGGAGGGGAGCTAGAATTAGATGAGGAGGGGTTTTACTCCCTTTCATTCCCCTCCCCTCCATTTACCTCCAACCAAACACAATGTAACAGAAAGGAATCTTACTTTGTACAAAAGAACATCTTCACATAATCCTTTACAAAATTAATATAGTTCATAGCTAGAAAATCTAGGTAGGTTTCTATAGCAGAAGTCAAACTATTACAACAGGTTCACAACAGACATAAAATACAAAGAAAGTTAGCAACCAAACTAACCATCATCCATTGTAATACTTTTCTGGTTTATCCATATCTGTAATGGAATACGAACTTCCTGCAGAAATTAAAGTTAACAAATTTAAAAATTTAAATATGAAATCCAATACATGTTAAAAGGTTGAAACAAAAATCTCCAAAAATGGAGGTTCATATCATTGTTATCAAACCCAGATAATGAAGCAGCAGCCAACCCCAACAATGTTTAGGCAGGTTAACAGAAAGCAGGATGACTGCCACATTGAAGATTATAAATATATGTGACAAATAATTTATACACACGTATAAGAGCTCAAAAGTAAAGAATTATCTAAAATTAATACTCAATTATAATTTCTAATCAAAACTAATAGCTAAACACAATCACTATCAAAAATGAAAATGATGTAATAAAAATAAATAAAAAACAAAACAAGGTTAACAGACAAGCAAAACTAAACAAAGGGCCTGTGAGTCTGAAGAACACAACACAGAAATTAAAAATTGAACAGTATCCTGCATGAACAGAGACTCATGGATGAGCAGTGGCCTGCAGTTGGATCAAAGAAGGCAGGAAAGAGACCTATGTGAAAGAGGCCCATGGATGAGCAATGTGTGTACTGGAAAAACACCAAGCTTGGCAAGCAATGGATCATAGCATGGTTTGCAACAAATGTTATCTTCTAAACACTCTTTGTTGACAATGCGAAGATTCAAACCCTTCCTTCAATTATTAGCTCCCTAATATAACTCAAGATTATTTAAATTTTAAAAAAAGAAATAGCACATCTTGAGAACAAGACAAACAAAAACAAAGATACACCACCATTATAGCTCATCATACTACAACTCTCCTATAAGTTTATGGTGTAACGTGAAGACACGAGAATTCTCTTTTATATTACATCTCTAACAGGTCCCTTCACGACTCATACAGCAACCCTTTTGACTTGAAGCATGAATAATGCACTGGTCTACCAACCTCATGCTATAATTCAACATTTTGTAAGAACAGGAATAACAACAATTGAACTCTAGACAACTTAGTTTACAAAATAAAAGGAAAAAATATATATATATTACATGATATAACTATTTTTAAAGCTTTTATTGAGAGCTATTTTTTTTTTTCAGAAAACGTTCTAGTGAAGAAGATATTTTAGGAAATGCTTAGGTCGGGAAGCACCCAGTAGCTTCAGTATATATAATAATTCAGAGTGAGATTACATTTAAAAGCAATAATTATAAAAATGCAACTTCCTAGAATAATGATAAGCCACCAAGTCTATTTGCTTTCCTAGAATTAAATTCCCCAGAAGCCGTAGGAATATTAACAGTTTCTAACAGTACATAATTTTTATAAGGTTTAATACATCATTTGCCTGTACTTTTAAGGAATTTTTAATGATGTCCCTAAACTAAAAAAAAAAAAATTGTAATTAGGTCTTTCATGTTTTCATGTTTGTGTAATTTAGTCCCTATGGTTAGAGGTCTATTTACAATCTATGAAATTTGACAAAATATTTTTTATATCTTCTTACCTAAACAACTACTTTAAATTATTATTCTCTATCATAATCCATGTGTATCAGATTTCAATCTCTACCCATTAAAATTCCCGCAATCTATTTAATCACTAATCCCCCAAATTCTTAATCTCTAATCACTGAAATTTGCCTAATCACCCTACCTGTGAACCTAATCCCAGAAATTGCTTCCAAACTTTGAAAATGGTTGTTCAAATATGAGAATATATAGAATATTTTGTCAACTTTCAAGGATTGTAAACAGGCTACTAACTTAAGGTATTAAATTACAAAAATATAAAAAGATGAAGGACCAAATTATAATTGTTTTAGTATCGGAACCTAATTAAAATTCTCAAAAACATCATCCTAAGAAAGTGATTTTAGAACCTAACTCAACCTTACAAAATCAGTTTGCAAAGTGAAGATTATTCCCTACTTATATACATTATTATGGCCTTATCTCTAGTCAATCTGGGATCTCCAAGACACCACCTTTACACAACAGATTGAATATCTTGAACAAGAAATTTGCAAGACTTGACATTTGCAGATGGTCCGATAACTAGCACGTGGCCTAATAAGCCCAACAACAAGAATCGCTAAGAAAGTGATTTTGGAGCTTAACTCAACTTTACAAAACTGGCTTGTAAGGTGAGAATTACTCTCCACTTATATACATTATTATAGTCTCATCTCTAGTCAATATGAGATCTCCAACACTTCAAGGACTAAATGATGTATTAAACCTTATTATATGTTCTTTAAACATATTTTTTAATTTAAAAAGCATTTCTCTAAAAAAAAAAAGTAAAGTTCAAACAAATGTGCCCTTAGTCATAAGGGTTCTAAGACCATGTCAAGAACCAACTCTCCTGAGAGCTAAAGTTGCTGGGTGAAGACTCATGACAGTCTTCTATATTACATCTCCAAAAACTTAGCATGAAAGTAACATGAAGCAAACATTTTTCAGAATAAATCAGAGCAAGTCATCGCAAAACCAACCACATCAGTAACATCATTTTTGGACTCTGCACGAGATTGCCCATTTTCAAATATTATCCACCCTCCAGTAAATGCGCTTTTAACATAGTACAAATAGCGAATGTTTGAACCCTTGTACGATGGTGGGATGATGCTAGGCAGTAGCATTCGAACCACATCTGAAATTAACACTCCACATAATCAACCTTCTTAGATCAAAATATATGATACCACTACTAAAGCATGATACATTCAAATTAATAATCAACAATCAAGTATACTGACAACATGCAAAAAAATATCATTTTCTGTTTTGTTGTCTTTTATATAATAAAATTAGAATGAACATTATAACAGCCCCCCCCCCCCCCCAAAAAAAAAAAAAAAAAAAAAAAAAA